TATAAACAGCTTAAGAGGCTATTTATCAGTCGCGTATGTGCCAGTCTGTGTAACAGATAATGAGCAAAGAGATGTGATACAGAGTACAGGCTGTTGAGCAATGAGGGTTGAAATGTCGAGGGATCGAAACTGCAAACTCATCATAGATGTTTGTTTGTTTATTTATTTGATTTTAATGTGGTTCATGAACAGTTGTCAATTACTGGTTATTCCAATGAACGCTACAGACTGCTGTCTCAATTGTTTGTTAAAAACGACAAGTAACAGAGCGTCCATTTTACATAAATGTTTAAGGGTCATATCAATATTTAGGATGGGTGGCTATTCAGATTTTCCTTTAGAAAATACCTTTGACACATGAATCATCATCGTGTCTCGTATCAAATTTTAAGTGAAAAGGGGGGCTTAAGTTACAAAAAAAAAAAATGTAATGACCGAAATGGTAAAAGCTAGATACATCAAGCAGGATCTCTGCTGCAGCGATTATTCATCTCATGAAACTTTGTCTTGTAAAAAGGAAATCTGTTGCTCACAACTTTTTACTGGTATTCAATAATGCACGGAAAATATGCTCAAAGCATGAATCATGACCCTGTGCGGTTAATGTGGTACTTTCACATCAATCTATGATTCAAAAAAGGATGCCTTAGACTACGTCATGACGCAGTGGAGCAGCTGACACTTGTGTGAAAGTTTTAACACCGTTGGTTTGGACATATATGGTTAGAATTGTTTACCATCAATAAATCTTGCGCTGGAGGAAGCTGACCCTGAAAGCAGAAGTACTGCCGTCTCATCAGAGAAGCTAGTAAATCATGAGCACCAGGAGGAGCTGTGAGGGTTTTCGTGTCTTGTCAGAACATGAAGCGTTGTCTGTGTCCCAACAAAAAGGAATGAGGATGAAATGCTCACTGTTATTCCTGTTTGGTTTAGTTTTTACCATCCTTTCGGCTCTGTCTACATAAAAGTTTAAAAGCCTGTATCAAACCCCATCTCTTTTTTTTTTTTTGGAAAGCATATATGATAACTCTTGTTTTTTTTCCATAACAACAACTAATAGTCTACATTTTAACCAAAATGCAAAGTATTTTCTTGATGTTTTATGTAAAAGTTACTGCATCTTTGCCTCTAAAAGTACGTCTCTGCTTTAAGGAGTCCATTTCAGTGCTATGATAGCAAAATATTTTCGATAATATTTCCATGGCAGTCTGTCATCATCTCTATCAAAAGAACCTTGGCAACATTATTAACATACTAGGAATTTATTTCCTTTTTAAGGAAAAACCATGCACAGCAGCTCCTCTGCAGTAATAGAAATGTTGAACCAAAGAAAGCTGTATCAGTACACACTGCTTTGCTTTGTCAGATCAGTTGTAAAAACATAACTTTTGTAGGAACTGCTTTCAGTACAGCAAGCTTATAATTGATGCACATTTACTGGATTGTTATTAAACTGCAAGCGACTGAGAAAACTGTTTTGCACTCCTCTCAGTGTTTCCCCACACATAAACTTTACTTCTCTGAGCCCCACAGGCTTATTAATGACCACCCAAGAATATTTGGCAACCTCTTAGCAGTTCTTTCCTGTGTTTCCATACTGAGCATTGCTGCTGTGGCATAATTCCCCTAATTTTCTAACATAGACTGTGTAAATGGACGTAGCCACCATGACATCACTCATCGATTAATGAAGTCCTCTTATGAAACCTTTAGATACTTTTCTATTTTGAAAGGAGAGCTTGGTGAACATGAATTGCCCAGCATACCCTCAAACCCCCCTTTCTCACTCCTACAGTGGACTGGATGACATGTTTTATTCAGTGTGACCTGAAACAAGCAGTTGAGCCCATAAACCCATAAGGAAAGTATTACTGAGGTCACAGAGCAAGACAGCTGTGCTCTGCTTGTACCCAGAGGAGTTGCCCCCTGCTGGCCTTTAAAAAGAAGACAGGTTTAAGGGACTTCCATCAGGCCTGGAAGCTTGATCAATCTTTTATATTGTTTGTGTATTTCCATGTTTGAACTCCAACTCCACCTTCTCGGATTGCAGTTGAAGACACGTGCCTGTCCACCCTCCTCAAATATAATCTAAATATGTAGGACACATCGCTTCCGTTTATGAACCCAAAAAGTGCCAAGTAAGATTAAATGACACAGCAAATTACATATTGCTCGTTGCCTTCACTTTATCTAATTGTTTCCATGTGCATCTCACACTGTCAAATGTTATGACTTCATGGCTTTAAGGCGATACCATATCTGGAGTAGTCATCCAAGGACCGGTTGTTCAACTTTTGCCACAGTTCAGATCATTATTTTTATGTATTTTAAAGCTTCAGAATAAAACTGTTAAATGGCAACAGTGTGTGAGTTAAGACAGATCGGATGCAGGGTTGGATTTGTGTGCGTGGACGATTATGTTGGAACAACCATGCTTTTGACTAAAGGTCATGTCTGGGGCCGGTGGCCTTCAGGGAAATATTTGCAGACTTGGCGAGGAATCTCGGTGGAGACACAGGACTTACGTCAGTGTTTGTTTATCCACCAGCATATGTGAAGTAAATATTTGAGCTCAGCGTTACATAAAAATGTTACGATAGCTGCCATCGCACTTTGAGCAAAGTGGCCGCACTCTGAAAAACATGCACTTGCTGCGTTTTATACCACTGTAAACAACCATGTGTTGCTTATTGTAAATTATCTCTGACATCGGGGAGTGCCACTGTGTCTGTCAGCTCTGTATGAATGGCCTCAGGACATTTTCACACACTTGGCTCTCTCGTGCTTTCTCATTCCGCTGTAGACTATTTGCCAAAGCCTTTTTGTTTAAAGAGTTCTGTTGGTTTTGCAGAATGCTTATGGGTTATTTTCTTCCTTACTGCTATTTCACTAAAACCAGAAATGGTCCAAACTAAGGCTGGGCTATATCATACCGTTTACGGTAATACCGGTGTAATGTTGGGCAACGATAGGAAAATGAAATATCGCGATAGAAGATGGGTAAAATGTGCATGCGCAGTGCCTTTGTTTACATACACACATGGCGGCGACGCAGAATGAGAAGAGCGAAAGTGGATCGTTAAATGAAACGGATGAACCAGAATTGGTTTGTAAAAATGCTGCAACTTCAGTGGTGTGGAACTGGTTTGGCTGTCAGATACACAACAAAGCACTATTTTTGGTAGAGCATGCTAGCGGGCCGTCATTATTACCGTGTTTTTTTTGGAAAATACGGCACACTTAAAATCAATCCTTTGATTTTTCTGAAAATCGACAGCGCCCCTTATAATCCCGTGTGCCTTATGTATGAATTCTGGTTGTGTTTACTGACCTCGAAACGATTTTATGTGCACGGCGCTCGAAAATCAGTCAAATGTTCCAGTACAACTTTGCTAATCTACGAACCTGCACCGCTTGATGGATTGTCGGAGCACTGTCGTAGGCAGGAGCCTCGCGGAGTGATACGTACTGTGCTTCAACATAATATTACCGTATTGTGTGTGTGTGTGTGTGTGTGTGTGTGTGTAACCTCTTTTTAAGTTTTGTGGATATTCTACATGGTTATGTTGAGGATATGTCGGCCAATTTCCACTGGAAAAGCCTTTTGGTTAAACTCTAAAGGAATTTGCATTTGCACTGTTACATTTTTTTACATAACTTTAATGCACTTAAAAAAGCTGCTGGTTTAAGTGAAAATACATTGATGTTTGTTTGTTTGCACTAATAAAGTTGAGTTGTAAAGTATTTTGTCTAGTGTCAATTATATTGTCAGTTATATTGTTATTGTAAATTTTCAAATGTATATCGTGATAAATATTTTTGGTCATATCGCCCTGCTCTAGTCCAAACTAAATTTTTTGAGATGCCACAATAAAGGTCAGTTATTTTTACTTGGGCTTCAGGGATAGAGATGGTACCCAGTAGATGCTCATTTTAAGACTGTGCTGATTTTTCGTTAATGCAAAATACTTGTCATGCATCCTATTTCATTTAAAAAAGAAAAAAGTGCTGTGGAAAAATGTAATCTAAATTAATTAATTTGCATATATAATTCAGGCATTTTTACTGGCTCCCAATGGGACCCTGTGTTGAAAATATAAGTAAGCAAGATTGGTCAGCATATTGTAAAGGCAAAGAACCTTACTTAGTAGAATTCAGTGCATGTTATTGCTATTTCTGGTCATGTAATTAAAATGTGTAAAAAGTATGGTTTATCTTTGGTGTTCTAGGAAAAAAACATATTTTAAGTTATATTTAATTCCAAAATTTACAAAGGAAACATCAAATGTTAAAATTAAAGTATTACTAGTTGAAAAAAGATGAGGTTTGAAATAATGTAATACAACAATTTAAAGAATTTGGGAATTTCATTCAAAGTGTCACAGAATCTGGAGAAATCCTGTATGAAAAGGCTAACACACTGACACAACAATGTCTGTAAAAAAGGGCAAAGTTGTGGAATATTTTCACTATGTGATAACACACACTTCAATTGTGATAACCATTGTTGTTGATCTCTGCGCCTAGATGCCACCCCCGCTTGTTTTTGCAACTGCCCCACCACCATCCACAACTTGTCTTAACTTGTAAAGCTCAGACCAGTTTCAGTTTTAATTGAAACACAGGTGACAACAATTAAGCATATTTTTGTAAAAAAAAAAAAAAAAATTAAAAAAATCAGTGTTGAGTAATTAAAATGTCTAAAGCGGATTATAATTGGGCTTTGATTTGCAACTGTGTCAGGCCAAGCGTTTCACTGATGTGTCATCACCACTAATGCAAAAATGCAGGACGTGCATCTGCTGCCAAGGAATGCAAGCCCTTTGAGTTCAGTCAGCTGATTAACGTTGCTTTTATCATGTGGATTGTAACAGTAGGAATTCTGAGGCTGTAGCTCTTTGATCGCCACTGCAGCTTGTTTCATGTTTCTCTGTTTAAAACAAAAAATTTACATTTCCTGTACGGTACCCCCTCATTGTGTTCCCTGTTGTCATCCTCAGATAAATACAGAAAATGGAGGACTCCAACAGCAACAAGCCATTCATGGTGACATCCTCTCTGAACTTCAAAGTCACCACCCCTTCCTTCTACAACCAGCCAAAGAAGTTTGCTTCTGTGGCCCCCCCACGACCCAAAAGTCAGACACCTCCCTCAGCTCCATCACCAACACCAGTAGGCACAGGTGTTATTGGCCGAGTTGGAGACCTGCCTCCACCGCCCCCTTCACTCTGTTATGGTATTTACATTTATTTTTGTCTGTATTAAGTTGTATCCACTGAAAAAAGCCCCCATTCCCTATCCCGCCCACTGCTGCTTCTTATGCTAGAGCATGCAGAGCTTCACAGTTGAGTACAGGATGGCTGTGGTGCTGTCTGTCTCTCCAGCACATTACATTACTGTGCTCTTAACGCCTGCCTTTTAAGGGTTCTTCTGAAATATGCAGATAGTCTGGGCAATCTTGCTTTTCTTGGGAAATTTCGTTTTTACTTTTAGAGCTGTGCACAATTACACTTCTATAAATGCAAACAATCAGACAGTTCAAATTAAAGGTTGTAAAGATTTAAATGCAATGCATTTCCTACAAGGTAGGAAATGCATTTGGTTGTGTTAAGATGCCAAAAACGCATTTAAAGCCACTTTCGGCTGCATCTTTATTCACAAGAGGTCACCACACAAGTATCTCCAAATGTTTTATTTATTTATGTCGAATACCCTTCCTGACACACACCCAAAGAGTTTGTCTCCTCCTGCGATTGAACCAAGAGTCTTTTGCTAATCTAAACATGTTTCTTGTTTTATCAAAAAAACCTCCACAGGGCGCCTTTTAATGCATAAAGTACATAACAGGATACCTACCAGGCATCAGTGCAACAGCCAACCAGCAGATCTCAAAGTGGCCAAATATTCCAGACAGTTTTGATGCTTTGTTGTCCTGTTTTGTGTTAAATTGAATACTTGGACGTTATTTTTGTGAATGCTTTTAACCAATCATCCCTCCTCGTTTTTGTCAGACTTCCCACCCCCTCCTCCTCCACTGGATGATGATTTGCCAGCCCCTCCCCCTGAATGCTCCACCATTCCCACTGCCTCTGATGCTCCCCCTCCCGCGTTCCCCGCTCCACCTCCGGTGGCAGATGACCTGCCCCTCCCAGCTCCCCCGGAGGAGAGCCGCTGTCCACCCACCTGTCCCTCTCCCCCTCCTCCCCCTCCTCCTCCACCTCTCCCTGCCTCCAGTACCAATGCTTTCAGTTCTTCGGGGACCCCACAGGTGAGTCACAGTGGTGTCTTCATCCTCCTGCACACTGCTTCCTTCCTAACTGCATTTAAATATAATTGGATAATTATTTAGGACATTTTTGTGTGACCATATTGAGTCTGTGGACTGACTGTTGGCAGGAAATGCTGTCTTTTGAGATTTTTCCCACAAATTATATTAGCATTAGTCCGGGGTAAATCACCCACTTTCATTCGTCTAACAGGATTATTGCCAATTTACGTCAATAAAATACTTCTTAGGCATGCAATGTGTTATGAGGTTTATTGTGGAGATGTGTATTGTAGGCTTTCATTAGTTCCAGTTTGATTGTTGGACTACAAGAGCAACATAAAGATGAATTATTTTTATTATTCTTTTTGAAAGTGCTAAAAAATGGCTGTAAAATAATATAAATATGATTTAAACCTCATGTTTGTATCAGCATTGAGTCTGTGCTAAATGATAATCAGCAAACAGCCAGATAAGTAACTGAAAATAAAATATTCTCTTTCATCTAACCAGAAATATTAACATGGCAAGCTTTTATCATCATTATAATCACCTTTTTAAGCTTGTTTGTCATCGTTCTTTCATTTTTGTGTTTTGTCACATCAGTAATTGTTCAAGCGCTGCATAGTGTACCCACTTTGGTCACATTAGTTTTTTTTTAAGTATCCATATTTAATGTTTTTGCTGTGTATTTATAGTCTGTAACAAAGTAACCTCTTCAGCTACATTTCTGCTCCTTGCTCATCCATCCATCCTTTTTGCTTCATCGTGATTCCCCAAATTGTGTATATTAACTTTATTTCTGTGATCTCCATTCTTCCGCCACCAGAGATTCACGGAGAAGCAGACAAGTTTTGATAAACAGCTCAACTCTCTGACTGGCATGTTGTCTGAGATGGAGACCAAGGGACCTTTCCACCCCAAGGTATAATGCACAGGAAAATAAAGACTACAGTTTAAACATTTTGGTTTTCAAAATGCATTTAGTGGATAGCAGTGAATACAAGTGTAAACAACTGCCATGAAACTCCTTGGTCAGGTGCACTGGGACACATTTGACCATATTTCTTTTGTAGTGTAAATATAGATGTGTCCCCGACAGACGTAAGAGAAACAAGAACAATAATGGGGGACATGGTGGTGTTGTAGCTTGTCTTCACCCTTATATAGTGTGTGCTGATCTATTTTACCCTCTGAGCGAGATGTTGACATTATTAACAAAGTACTAACGGGTGGAAATGGCAATACGTCTTGGTTGTTTACTTGTGTTTAGATCCCTGAAATGGATTTAAAAGGCAAGTGTAAACAGAGGTTGCCTACAGAGCAAACAACCAGATGAGTAGCAAAATGACAAGACTCAGAGGAAGCCAGCTGTAGAAAAACAAACTGACTCCTGTGGAGAAGAGAAAAAGGTAATGCTACATGGGTCAGGAGAAATAGTTTGGGGACATACCAGGTCGGTTTCATTAGTCTCCCTTCGTCTGTTCAGGTGGAAAGAAGTCAATTAGTAGTGAACTGTTCGCACGGTGCACCAGACTGAAAGAGAAAACAAAAAGTGAGATAGGCGGTGATTCACACTGAGAGAAGAGACACTTGCAGAGAGGCAGAGTGATGCACGCAGAAGTGAGTGGAGAGCATGAGAGTGTGATGAAACCAGAGTGTGCTGCCAGGGACCCAGTGAGAGGGCCATAAATGGAGAGTGTTTTTAATCCAACAGGGAGGTACTGGATCAAGGCAGAATAATGCTGGCTCAAAACCTGCAAAATAAATGTCAGAAAGACGAAGCACTTCTGATAAGCTCAAACTTTGGAGCGCCTCCAGTGTTTACTTTAATCAAAGTACCTCATTCAGTATTATGATAGTGTCTGCTTGTAGCATTTCACCATGCAGGGAATATTAACTTCCCTCAATTCAATTATAGTTCATGGTAAATCAGAAAAACTCCATTCTTACGTGAAATTATCATTGTTGTTTTTTTTCTTTTCTTTGCTTTTCCATCATGATAATCTTTTGTTTAATGTTATTTCACCCACAGATACCAAGCCAGTATTCATCAGCACCCAAGGTCTCAGCTCCTCCAACCGCTCCCAAACCAGCCCTTTCCTTCCTCCCACCTCCCGAGATGGGCGATCGCCCTCCTCCTGCGCCCTGGGCAGAAGAACTCAAAGCCAGAACGAACCGACAGGGCAATCACAACGCTGCGCCAAACTCTGCCGCTCAGTCTTTCGCTAAAGCGCCGGCCGTGGCTCCCAAGTCTGGATTCGGAGGAAGAACGACGACATCATCAGCTTCTCTGGCGCAAAAAATCAACCTGAACCTGAACCAGACACCCACCGCTGCCAGCAGTGCACCTAAGCCTTCCCCTCCCATAGCTACTTGCTCTTTCCCTCCACCTCCTGCGGCTCCGCCTGCACCTCCTGCTCCACCAAATAACATGGCCACTGCACCGGCTGCTAATCACGTAAAGAGTTCTCCCTTTGCCAGTCAGATGAACGCAAACCAAAACACTCCTTCTGCTGTGCCACCTCCTCAACCCAAAACGATGGCATCTCCGCCCTCCTCCTTTAACCAGCCAATGAAAACTACCCCTGCATCGACGGTATGTTCCTGCTTTTTGCTTTGCATGTACTGTGGAAAGTCACAGGAAGTACAGATAATTGATTGTCAGTAGATAGGAATGCTGGACATGCACAGTGTTTGCAAAGGTACAGTTATAAATAACAAAATCCTCTATAAGACGTGTATGAAACTATAACATGCCTTAAAAAAATTATACATATGCACTTATGGCTTCTTCCTCTTCTGTGGCAGCCCTCACCCCCGGGCCCAGTTCCTAGTGCAGGTGGAGGTGTTCCTCTGAACATGAAAGAAGTGGAGGAGCTGGAGAGGATGACCAAGGACTTCATTAGAAACATGGACGCGAACCCACCTCTCATCACCTCCCCTCCTACAGGTGCAGACACGAAACTTCAAATCAAAACACACTTTTATTTCACTCGTATTTTGCATCTTTCTGATTTAATTAGAAAATAATTTATTATAATTATCTCCAGAGAGTGCACTGATGTGGCTGAATTTTGAATCTCATTGTTGTTAATTACAGTCATTAAGTAGCTGCTCGTTTGGAAAAACTTGAGTTGGTGGCATGGGCGAGGTGTTAACAAAAGTAATGGTTTAACTTTTTGATTATTGATAATCTTAGTGAAATGAATGCAGGAAAAAATATTACCAATGAAATATTAATGTCCCAAACTGCAAATATTCAGCAGACATAAGAAATTATTCACCTTTCAGTTTGCTGACTGGTTGCAAAATGCAGATTTTTATGGACATCAAAATATATTCACAGCTTATCCTTTGTGATCTACAATTTAAATGTGGTCAGTTTTTGTCTCTCCAGTGTTACATCTATGACCCTAAAAAATAAGCTGCATCTTTGGGATAACATATTGACTGTGCAGAACAGTTTACACAAACCAAACAAAACTAATAAAACTACAAGTTTCCCATCTGTGTTTATTACACTGTTGTACCAGAGCTGAGTAAAGAGACGGAGAATTTGCTTGTTCATAAAGTTGTTTGTGTATCTTTCTCTTTTCTTCAGAGGTTTGTGGAAAATGTGGTGAGGCTCTCTCCCGTACTCAGCCAGCAGTGAGGGCCATGGATAAACTCTTCCACTCCACCTGCTTCTGTTGCATGACCTGTCACCGCCCCCTGCAGGGCATGCAGTTCTATGACAGGGATGGTTCACCACAGTGTGAGGACTGCTACGTGGTGAGGAGATGCAGACATTTATTCTTCTTATATTCTTGCTGAATTGAGTATATAAGGTGCAGGTTTAACTAGTTTTTCACCTCCATTCTCCTCACATTCATGTTGTTGCTCCTCAGAGCTCCCTGGCTGTGTGTTCTCGATGTGGGGAGAAGATCACAGACCGTGTGTTGAAGGCAGTTGGACAGTGTTTCCACGCCCACTGTTTCCGCTGCAGCACCTGCTCTTGTGTACTTGAGGGGGCACCCTTTATCACTGATGACAACAACAACCCCTACTGTGTCCAGGATTACCACAGGTCACTATGGATTTCCACATTAAAAAAAATAATATATTTCTGTTATTTCCTTATGAGAAGTGATCATGTGGTGCAGTTCTTCTTGCAAACATTGTCAGAACAAGGATGTGTGGTTAAAACCAACAGTCAATTTTGGATTCCAGTATTTGTACCCATCTAAATGATCAGTGAGATAGTTTATGCTAGAGGAAAGAACACTTTAAAACCTCTTTCTCATTTTGATCAGATCGCTTAAAACTTTGTTTAGAGCTCACTCAAAATGTGTTTGACAAAGCCAACTAAACTTTGCTGCAACTTGTTGCCAGGCCCAGAAGCAACACACTTTATTACATCTCAGTGGAATATCACTGATTGTTTCAGTGTTTCCTCAGCTAGGGGTGTGAATGCATAAGAGTTCAACTGAGGTAATTAACTCAAATCCACCTCCCTTCTCGTAGGCGTTTCTCCCCTATGTGTGTGAGCTGTAATGAACCCATTATTCCAGCCCCGGGCAGCGAGGAGACGGTCAGAGTGGTAGCTCTTGACAAGAACTTCCACCTCAAGTGTTACCGCTGTGAGGTAAGACCTATACATAGTTGTTTTTGTTTGGGGGTTTTTTGTTGTTGTCTTTTATGTGTGTCACAGGGTGTTTCAGCTTCTGATAATCAATATTTCAATTACTTTGCAGGACTGTGCTCGCCCTCTCTCCATAGAAGCAGATGAAAATGGCTGCTATCCTCTGGATGGCAAGATCCTGTGTATGAAGTGCCACACCCAACGAGCCAAGCAGGCCGCGCACTGATTGGCTAAAGCAGCATCACTCAGTGTAACAATGAACCAAAAGCACAGGATTCACCCAGCTGCAGATTTTTTGCCTTTGCGACAGGGCTTTGTTCAGTATATGTGCGCAGGTGTGTGGGTGAATGTTCAGCGTGAATATGTATGTTTGCATGCAGATAAAGTGTAGTGTTTCCTTCGTCTTTGTTCACTTTATTCAGTGCAGAGGTAATGTACTGCACCGAAATTGGTTTTATTCCACATCTCCTATTCTCCAATCGCCCATCTCGCCTTCTTTGTTACTAGAGCCTTTTTTTTTTTGGGGTGCCAATTGTATGTTTACGCTAAAAATTACCAGCAGAACTTGCACAAGAACAGTTGGGTCAAAAGAACAGTCTGATAAATATAAAGTTGCCTTTCTCTGTTTCTTGCCTAGATGTTGGTAGTAGCATCATAAACTGGTTCCACTGGCTGTATTCTTTCTCTTTGAGCATTTTAACTATGCTTTTTGTGCCTGAGACCGAGGAGTGTAAGAAACCTCCAAATTGACAGTCATGCAGATGTCACCATCCTCGTTGCCTGAGAGTAGAGTACATCTTTTAGATTTCGGTAGTTGTTACACAGCCAGGCATGATTAATGACGCTTTCCTGCCTAGAAAGTACTTCATATCAGCTAGTCTACTCCTAATAGCATTTTAAAGTCGCGTAGGGCTTTAAGGCAACAGCAAAAAGAAAAATGGTGAATATTGCTTTGAGTTTTTGTGATGTGAATTTAATGCTTTACAGGCATGCATTGAATTAACTCTTGTTGCTCTCGCTACTCGATGATATTGTATAAGGGCAAGATGAGAACAAAAATCAGCTTTTTTTTTTTTTTTTTTCTCCTACAAAATAGTTTAGAGCTGATTGAACCATGCTAAGTATTTTTAGATGCATGCTTTGTGGACGGCGAGATTTCGTACAAACAAACGAGCACAGATTTCCCGAGCACAGACTCCATCCTGGGGATCTCACAATCAAAAGTCAGCTGATAGTTACTTTTAACTATCAGCTGTATGGTTGAAAACGGGACCTATCAAGTAATTTCACTGTGCAGGGGCCATTTTATTCAAAGTCATACTGAGAGCATTTTACACATGTGTAAATAAAATTGCCCCTGCACAAGGTCATTGTAAGCAAATAGAAACAAAACACCAGTGTTTGATGTGCATTTATTATTATCTCTTAGCTTATAAGCTTTGTATGATATAAATCATGGTCCTGTTTTTCCTAAGTATTAAGGTTGCATACGCAGCAGTACTAAAATAACCTGTCCTGACAGCAGGGCGATAGAAATGTAGAGGCATTTCAGTTCTAGGTAGCAATGTTTAAAAACACAGACCAAATCTTTCTGTTTAGAGCTTAAGATCAATAAAACGGTTACATGGGATTTGATGTTGTAACATTCAAGCGTGGTTTTTGTTTGTTTGTTTGTTTGTTTGTTTGACCTAAGTTTCTCCCGTTGCCATGATTACCACTATTCTTGCCATTACTTAACTTTTGTACGTTTAGTCTGTTCGTGTTGGTTATATACTATTTTATTCTTTTCTTGCTGTTCTGTATTTTGCTAATTAAAGCTTACATTTATTTGGTTTCATTTTAACCTGGCGCTGTGCCTTCTCCATTATTGTATCCTATTGTTCCTTCTGAATTGAGCCTGGTTTGCAGCCACAGAAATGAATTCCTCGGTAAGAAAATTGCTGCTTGTGCTTGCAATTGAGCCTGGTGCAGTAAATCACCAGAATGACTAACAAAACATGGCATTCGTTGTTGAGTCTTTCTTGCTATCTGTGGAAGCAGTGGTGGAATTTCCTCTAGTATTATGTCCTGTGTTTCCACCGACTACTCCACCTTTGTGGCCCTGCCTTTGTCATCACCATGTGATATAAACTCTATCATAATGCCTTCATGGCTGCGTTCATCAGGCATTGCATTGTGTTACATCCTATTGTATTACATGTGGATGCCTTGTCCTTTCATATAACTTTTTATACGTTTGATATGTGTGAATGTCTTACATTATTCTAGTCCTATCCATCCTTTTTGGCTGTATCAAAAAATAAAGAGAAATGTTAAATCCATGTCCCAGTCTTTCAATTTCAGTTATGTGCTAATATAATGTATACACGCACATCGCTGGGTACACTGCACCCAACTGATACCCGTGAAGCATGTTTTCTCTCAGACCCTCAATGTGGTTCACTGCTAGAGTTTGACTGCTCTATCAGTTGTAAACAGCCATATGTTGCGCTGATAATGACGACAGCAGACCTGTGTGCGTATGCATTTAAGCGTACTTTCCAGGAAGAACTATTCACCCCGTTCCAATCCGATGCAGCAACGAATAAGCATAAGCAAGGTACTAGACTCAACTTACCACTACCTGCCTTGTTCTAAAGCTTTTACCACTACACACAGGAGTTATTCATGGTGTCACTGTAGTTCACAAATCCCAAAACATCCTGACTGCTTAGAAGAACCGCAGCATTTGCTTGATGAGAAGAGTGAGTCGCAGCCTGCAGAGTGGTTTTTATCGGTGTCAGATGAGGAGAGAAGTGACTGATGAAAAGAGATAGCTGAGATGACAGCTATTTGACGGGGGGGGACAGGAGGCGGTAGACATGTAAAAGAGGATGTAACACGCTGGGAAAACACAAGTCAAGAATGAGTGAAACAGAGCTTGAGGTAAGATCTCAATAGCAAAGTTGGTTATGTTGTTACCAAGCTGTTTTAGGCTAATGTGTATGTTGTAACTGCTGGAAACAAGGCCGAGTCGCTGTGCCTAAGAAATATAATATTTAAAGAATGTGACTTTGAAAGGGTGAAGTCTGCAGTCTCTGCAAATTAGACTTAAACTGCTCTGTGCAAAAGATTGTGCTTAAATAAAATACATGAAACTCATTAAGTTGACATACATGCCCACCTAATGAATTTCATGTCATGTGTAGCTCTTGATCACGCATTGTTACTGTTAAAAGTAGTTTTTACGTAGAAAAATAAAAATCACTTCAGCTGCGCTATTGAATGTCTACGGGTATAAGCAAGTATTTTTAAAGTTATTTTAAAACCACTTAAAATTTAGCACACATTAGCGAAAATGAGTCACTCTTCCTTGTTTTATATTTTGTTTCCAAGGGCAAAAACTTCCTTTTAATTATTTATAGTGGTCTTGAGCAATAGTTCTCCAGGCTTTCTGAAGGTCTGTCTTTGGCCATTGGCTGCTCTTTTTTTTTTTTACTTATTTTCATTCCAGTCCTTGTACCTGTCATTTTCAGAGCAATGCTTCTTTTTCTTTTATTTAAGTCACTTAACATTGGCCGAGAAATCACTCAAGCATTAAAGAGGCAACCTAGCAAATAGCCCATTTCCTTAATAGCCTGCTGAAAAAAAAAACAAAGTGTGTTCCCATTTCTATAGTTAAAGCCACAACAAATGTCAGAGAATTCACAGGGATAAAGCAGTAATTTTTCTATTAACAAGATGATTGCAGGAGGGCTATTAGACAAAGACTTGATATATATTGGCATGGTGTCCAGGGTATCCTAAAAGACTTTCTAAAACTGGACAAGCAGGTTACAAAAGATCTGACACAGCACCTGAGAGATACATCTGTCTATTTAGCTGCATCCAGAACCTGGGAGGGTTCAGCCTTCCCCTCTACTGCAACTGCTCACTCATTATCCCCACCAGATCCTGCAACAACTCGAGTCTGACCGACAGCGACTGCATATGTCATACTCTAACATCGAGCACCGAGTAAAACCAGTGTGGATGAAACATCGAAAATGGCTACTTTTCCTCTTAAGCTGCATTTTACTTGCTGGCATGGTGGGACTAATCAACCATCTGTCTCACCATTTCCACACTGGTAGGAGTTCAGAAAAACACACCAATACGAGACAATGAATTCACAATTCTGCCATTTTGTCTGACTTTTGTCTCACTCTTTCCTGTAGTTACTCCGTGTCTCTCTCCTGCCTGTCAGTGGGCTTCAGCCCGTCTCTCCACATCTGCTGATCCCTTCACGCAACCCTGTGATTACTTTCTGTTCACATGTGGATCAGACAGACTTTTGCTGGACAGTGAAAGGCGACAAAGAAGTCATGGTTTTACTTTACATGCAGAAAACCAAAGAAAGTCTGTGCAGTCAAAGCAGGAAGACGGAGGACTAAGAGAGAATAAAACACTGAGCAGAAAAGCTGTGTTGCTGCAGTATCTCAAGAAGATTTTAGGTATGAGTCTGTATTCAGTGGGAATTTTTTTTAAATGTCCTCTCTTGTGTGTGACTCCTCATTTCATGCTGCCTTAACAAATGATCTAAATAGTTTCCTTTTTTTTCCGGATCTGTATGTCAGAAACAGACAGCGGGATGAATAGTTCAGCAGTGCAGAAGACTAAAGGATTCTACAATTCCTGTCTGGATACAAAATCTATAGAAACTGCTGGCGCAGACCCCTTCCTCTCACTCATAAAGAAAGTATGATACTCATATTCCAAACATAGCAAGCTCTTCAAATCACACTTAAGCTTAGATCGGTTATCATATGTGCTCATAAGACTTAATTACTTAAATTACCATTATGAACATTATCCCATTAAATTTTAAAAAACAAACAGAAACCATTACCAGTTTTTTAATGATGCCTGTTGGCCTACAGGAGGTGCTGTAACTACATGAATCACTGTCATAACCTTAGTTGAGGTCAAAAAGAAAAACAAACAGTTTAGCCGAATTGTCTCCTTTGTAGTTCTACAAGATCTAAAATGATTAGTCAATTTGTAATTTGACCAAATTTTGCAAAGTCCATCTTCTAAAATGACAGCGATTGCTTGTTTAACACTCAATATCTGCTGCCCAGAAGAATCAATCAGTTTAAAAACATCCCCTTTGGGTTCAGGAGACTCCAAACTGTTTGGTTACATTTTTCCCCCAATTTCATCTACTAATATTGTTTCACTGTATCTTCTCCGTACGCAGCTGGGAGGCTGGGCCGTATCGGGGCAGTGGAATCAGACCGATTTCAACACCACCTTGGGATTGCTAATGAGAGACTACAATACCTTTCCATTCTTCAACATCTATGTGGGCAAAGACCCTTATGAAGCAGCACGTGGGATTAACAAAAAATACATACAGGCTAGTATGAATTAAGATGATTTAGGTTTTGCTGCTCTGAGAGCTGCCAGAGCAATGTAAGCTTTGTGTTTTTGCTTTAAATCAAGTCTCCTCTTTGCCAACAGATTGATCAACCTGATTTGTTGATCCCAATTGAATGGAACAGCAAGACAGAGAAGTCTAGAGCTAAAACTGAGGTTGAGTATCCTTGTTGATTCAGGAAATGTCTTTAGAATCAGAATCAGAATGGGGTTTCTGATTCTGATTTCCTGAACCTTGTTGATTCAGGAAATGTCTTTAAATGAATACAAAAACATTTATCCATCCAACTAAGGCCTTTCCTTTTGTCCTGTCTCTTTTATCTAGACTCTACGTCCTTTCTTGGCCTCGTGTCAGCAATACCTCAACCTGCTGGGTGCCCCGAAGAGCAGCAGCTTGATCCATGTGGGCTCTTTCGTCTCTCTGTCCTCTCAGCTTGCTGTGGCATCTTCACCCCTGGACTCTCGCCTGTCCAAAAGTCAGCTCTACCAGCACATGACCATCAAAGAGCTACAGGTAAAGGATTTATGTTTCTTTGTGCTGTGCTGCTCTTCTGATAGAAGCAATGTCGGTGCATACTGCAGAGACAGAAGTTTTACCTAAATCAATTACAGATGATACCATTATACTGTACGTACTATTAGTTAGTAAAACGTAGCTACAAATTAACTAGAAAAACAATGACAACTATATTTTAGCAAAAATGCAAATACATAAATAGGACTGTACAGTAAGGATGCTATAGTGCATGTGTTTAGTGATATTTGGTCCACATTAACTTGAGTCAAGTTTTTGTATGTTCTAAACACCTTAATACCCTGCAGAGGTCACCAGTCCATCACTTAGCGAGCACATAGAGGCAGAGAATCATCATGCTCACACTTAAACTGAAATTAAACAATAAATACATTTAATTTAAAAAACAACAACAACACTTTGAGTACCTGTTGTCTGGATACATGTGATAACAGTATTTTTTATATGGAAATGTCCCTACAGAGACAAGCCCCTGCTATTGATTGGTTGGGCTGCCTCCAGGCTGCTTTCCATCCCCTGCCCCTCAGCGCAGATGACGATGTCCTTCTGCATAACTTACCCTACATCGTGCAGATGTCCAACACCATCATCAAATGGCAGAACAAGCCTGAACTGAGCAACAGGTACTGTAAAGTGACATAAAAATGACAAGCACATCCTTTCTCTTTTTTATGCTTATCTTTGTTGCTGGGTCATTTGTTTCCACTCAGCGCTCCCCTTCATACTTTTATGGTCCTCAATCTTCTGCACACCCTGATGCCTGCCATGGACTCCAGATTTTTTGAAACAGCAAAGAACTTTTCTATGGCTTTGGGTAACACTGAAGAGGTTAGCCGAATATGCTACAGAGGAAAGAAAAACTGGATCTGTGAATTGATTGGTTACTGTAATATCTTTATATTTTGGCTTTCCACCAGGAAGCTCCTCGCTGGAAACACTGTGTGCTGGAAACTGAGAGAGGATTTGATTCAGTTCTCACACATCTTCTCAGTAAAGTGACAGCACAGAAGGAGGTGAGGAGACATCTTGAGACCTAATGAATTCAATAGAGAGAAAAGGTTCTGTCTGATAATCTGTCATTTAACTCTCCAATAGGCAGAGAAGATTATTCAAAGTGTTTTTCACTCCTTCAAGTCCAAACTAAATGAGTTTGAGTGGACAGATCAGACATCTCGTCAGCTTGTCATGGAAAAGGTAACGAGTGAAGAATTTGTTTTCTTTTTTAATTTCTTCAGAAACGAACGATTTTTAAGTTTGATATTTGTTAAACGATTCTGCAGGTTGATTCTGCTATTCCAAAACTATGGACTACAAAGGAGCCCTCTAGTGAAGCCAAGCTTGACCTGCTTTTTTCGGAGGTACATCAAAAACCTCTTGGTTTAATGTCTTGATGGCATTTATCTATGTGGGACTTAAACTATATCTCACTCAGTGCTGTCAGAGAGAACTCTTTAGGATCCCAATGTCCATCTAAGTTTTAATTTGATCTGTTTGGATCTCACTTCAGGTGAAAATTCGCCACTTAATTCAGTAGCCTGTATGAGAGTCGAGCCAGCCTCCCTAGTTTTATTAGTTTTTAGTTTTATTATACCACAGAGTGACAGGTGGTGTGGAAAGGGCCCTCCACTGGAAAATAATGAGCTTACGCCCCAACATCAATGCAGTCTGCACCTGTTCGGCAACATTAGGTGGAAGATTTTTGAAGGGTGATGGATTCCCTAGATTTAATAGTGTTGGCGAAAAGGGATTAAACAAATTTGTGAATCTCTGTCCAAAAATTTGGTGATTTAGGACGGCTGCAAATCATGTGGGTCAATGTGCCCACCCCAGTCGGACATTTCCAGCATTCGGGGGTCTGTATGAGGTTCGCCCTGCATAATCTGTTGGTGACCACTAAATTCGGTGTAGTAGTTTGAATTAAGTTAGTCTTGTTCTAAGTTCCCTGGACATCTTTTTAATATTCTGTAGATTCCTGATCAGTAAGCGCTACACTAAGGTCAGTTTCCCAGGCTCGTTGCAGGGTGGTGAGCCCTTTATCCATGTGTTTTACAAGCACTGAATAATATTTAGGGACCTCACAATTTCCCTCAAAGACTTTCCCAACATAGGTGAGATAGCCTATAGTTAAAGCAGGTGTGGAGGGAGATCCAAAGATCATGAGGAGTAGATGTAGACTTAGAATAGCTGCAAATATTTCAAAAACTGTCTCTGTGGCAGCTGAAACTGTGTCTCCCGTCACATAGATCTCCAAGAACAAGAATTCCTCTCTGAACCCAAGTCTCCAAAGAAATGGAGCCTTTTTAATGCTAAATTTGGGGTTAAGCCTTATAGAGGCCTCATTGTGGAGGTGCATTTTCTTTGTTTTCTTTGTATTATTGTAAGGTATTTACCTTACAATATAAAGCGCCTTGAGGCAACTGTTGTTGTGATTTGCTGCTATATAAATAAAACTAAATTTAATTGAATGTTTATTTATCATATAGAAAATCTGTTAATGCCGCAATAATGACATTAAACTAATGGTAAAACTGTTACCACGAATCTCAACTTTTAAATACTATATTGACATCACTGGTTTTGGAAAATAAGGATTAAAAAGTGTAGAAATAAAGCCAAACCACTGACCTTCAAATATCTATAATTTCAGATGATAGTCAGCAACCAAAACTTCTTCTCCAACTATGTCCAGCTTCTATCCCTGTGGCAGAAGAAACGCATTGAAGTCCTGATCACCGAGCCTGAGGATATTGATATGTAAGTGTCAGCTTAAAGCTGATAGCTGCCAATAATCTGGAGTGTGCATTAATCTTTTCACTTTTCTTTTAGACTGTCTGTCACACCATTTCTCTTTGGTAAAAAGCTCCTCTTTCCCATGGGAATGTTTGTACCTCCACTTTTCCATCCAACCTATCCTAGGTAACATATACACTCACTCAATAACTATTAAATGCCTTCCATTGTATTTTTCAAATAATTCCAGCATTGGACTTTTTCTGTAAACAGAGCCATTAATTATGGTGCAGCTGGTTTCCTTGTTGCTAAAGATATCCTCCACCTGCTTCTGCCTGACAGTAAGAGAGATTCACTTTCCTCTTCTTCATTTACTACACAAAAAATACATTTTGCTTTTGTTAGTAATATTATGTATATTTATCTCTGTAGTTTCGTCTCAAAGTAAGACCGTGAATGCTGTGGGTGAATGTGTGTGGACTCACTACCTCACAGTGTCAGAAAAGGCAGGCAGAGGTGGAGGGTTTCCGCTGTCAGCAGCACAGCAACAGGAGGTGTGGGTGCAGTATACTGCACTGCAGGTAGCGCTGCAGGTGAGGATCCATTGTCAGGCTTTAATGTCTGTTTTTAAGGATGAGATCAAGTTTACATGTCTTCGTGTTATCTGCCTTTTTTTTTCTTAGGCTTATCATCAGAATCTAATGCAACAGCCTAATGACACGTCTCTCTCAGGAATCTCATATACTCGCTTGTTCTTTAGATCCTTTTCTCAGGTGATGTACTTTCATTACTGTCTTTTCTTTTTCTGCTTTCCTCCCAGCTACACTTGAGTGTAATTCCCTGTAATGTGATTTATTTGCAGATTAACTGTGAAGCTGATCCATACCGTGACTCCATGCCTTTTAAACCCTCCTTCTTGATCACAGTCATTTGTGCCAAATATAACCTGTGTCCTACAAGCCCGCAGTGCTCCATTCAAACCAAGCAGAATTCATTACAAGCATGCTGACCAGTCTCCTCTGATTTGACATAAAAGGTGTACCTACCATAAGTAGGCTACAACCCAAAGCACACTTATGTATTTGCTTTTGTTGTAATTGTTAGGTTGTGTCTGCATGTTGTATAATTGCGCGAGCGGTTTAGTTTTGTTTGTTTTCATTTTTTGAAAACTGTTGAAACCTTGTTTCCAGCTTTGCTTTCAGTGATGAAAGTTGCCAGAAAAGGGACATTGGATTGAACAACAAAGTTCTCCTACTTAAAGATGATTTTGTTCATTTAACTTTAACCATCTTGAGTGGAAAAAGTAAAAGTTAAATTCAAAAATGGCCTCTTATTTTAAAATAAAATCATCCGAGATGAGTGGGAAAATGTATCTTTGCTCAAACTTCATATAAATAACATAAACGTGTAAAAAAAAATCCATGAATTCTGAAAAATATCCCCACCTGACCCGCAGCGTATCTTCTGATTTCTGTACACTAACTTTAAAATGTAAAACAGTTCTGCAAATTGAAGTACATAATTGTATACATAAGGAATCAAAGCTAGAAGATGAACCTATCAAAATGTAGTTAGTAGAAGCCATATGCACCCATCTGTCCCACATGGTAATATGACCTGAGAAAGATGACCCAAAATTTCCTCTAGTTATTATTAGAAAACACATAAAACATCAGGATAGCAATGCTTGTTTCTCTTCAGGGGTGTCAAACATAAGGCCTGGGGGCCAGAATCAGCCCAACAAAGACTCTAATCCAGCCCATTAAATGGCTTTGGAAAATGTGAGATTTTTAACTGTATTTTAGAGCTTTTCTTCTCCCATGGCAATTCACACTACACCAAAATGATTACGTTATAAATTTATGTATTTTACACCTTTATTTCTTATCATTTAGGCCCAAAGAATCATCTAGAGAGATTTCTTTCATTTACTACAGCAGCATTTCTTTATTATGTAAGTGAGGTGTACTTTTAAAATTGCACTTTTTTTCTTTTTCTTATATAAAATCATTTGACATCCCTGCTCTACATCACAGACATTAAACTAGTGCAATTTCACTTTTTAAACTAAGATTTATCCCATGATGTTGATGCTCAAAGTTGCTTACACACACACACACACACGCACACACAAAATATATTGAACAAAAGTTAGACTTTGGCTTCAGAATGTTACACTTGGAAGTGGGTTTAAAATTAATTTGGCTTCATTTAGGTGAGCAAACATGTGTTTTTGAGCCCTGAAATGCAGTGACTAAAAATATCTGGTTCATAGTAACAATGTTGCTGATAATCAGTGTTTGTGTTTATTGTACTTTTCCATCCAACTGCTTATCCAAGGATAGGATGGTGGGGGTGCTGGAGGCAATTCCAACTCTTATGAGATGAGAGGCAGCATATACCCTTCACAGTCTTCCAGTCCATCATAGGGCTAATATAGTTACACTCAATTCAGAATGACTAGTTAAACTGACAGGGATGTCTTTGCACTGTGGGGGGAAGCTGAGGCACCAACATTTCTGTTCCTATCATTTATTTGTCTTTATCGCCTATAGGTACATGTCATGTAATGTCTATTTTCATCAAATGCATGCACTCAAAATAAAGTAGTCAAAAAAACCTACTTATTGATACTTGAGTGGACCCATCAATTATTTTGAATAACTTCCTGACTCAGTTAAGGCTCTGGACCAGCAACTGAAGAACTGTTATTTTTCAAAATGTCACAAAATCAGCATTCCTATTTTAAACTCTGACCAATACCTGTCAGTGAAACTCAGTAGAGGAGTTTCCATTATTTCTGATTTCTTCCTTAATTATGAAATAGTGTGTAAACCTCAAAAAATGCGGAGGAAAGCCACTGTTACAAACCCCACGCAGCTGAGTGCACTGGGAAATGGTGCGAGCGAGAAGTCAGGAGAAAACACACATTTGAAGGTGATAAAACAGATAGAAAGACCTTCTAAAACTCCAGCTGGGAAAGGCCTCGGAAAAGCAGGAGCCAAACGTTTGGGCCGACTACTGAAACGAGCTATCCCTAACCAGGATGAGGCGACAGGAAAGGCGAACGCTTCTCTTCCCAGTGAGTCCCTTACGGTTCAGCTAAAGCTAAGCTAATCAGCCAACTGCTGAGGCTAGCTAAATTAATCCAAATTAAGAGTTTATGTGTCTTTGATTTTAATTATTTTTAAATCTGCTTTAGATTTCAAACAATAAAAAATAATACTATGACACAGAATTTATTCCCAGGGTCTTTCCTGGTTCAAAATGGGTGGGGTGGGGGGGGCTATGCATTTTAGCAGCTGTTGATGAAGATGTTAAGATTTAGAGTACATAAAAGGGTCAGCTCAGTTTGGAGACAAAGTTATAGAGGCAAGGCTGAGAAGGTTTGGACATGTGCAGAGGAAGGATAGAGGATATACTGGACAAAGGATGCTGAACATTTAGCTGGTTCATAACAAAATACAACAGTGAGAATGGATGGAGACATTTGTACTATACTATAACTGGTTTGCACTGATCTGTGATTTGAATGTTATTTTCTTCATTGATTTTTCAGAGACTCCCGTCCGGCTTTTCAAGCATCAGATTCAAACAGAGGCTGGAAATGCACCCAAGACAAATTCCGCAAAGCCAACCTCGCCTCACATCTCCCAGCTCATCCTCAGTGTGGTTTCCCAGTGCAAACACAGAGGCGGCATCTCCATGGCAGAACTCAAACAGATGCTGGCAGCTGGAGGCTATGATGTGGCCAAGAACAACAGGCGAGTGAACATAGAGACCAAGAGGCTGGTTAACAACGAGACACTTGTACGAACTACAAGAAATGCATCATTCAGACTCAACCATAAGGTAATGCACCTTTAATCTTTGGTAACTGGTATTAGTTCAACTAAATGCAGCACTGTTGCGTGTAAGTTATGCATGTAGCTTATTGGCATTGTGGCTAAAAAGTGATTTTCTTGCCCGTGTGTTGCAGTATTACAGTGAGATTCTCAAAACAATTTCATGTCACATTAACTTTTACCCCCCGAAAAATAGAAGCTGACAGACATAATTCAAGTGAGGACGATCCCAGTGAAGACTCCAAAGCCAAAAGCAGAGCTGAAGCTGACTCCGAAAACAGCAACAAGCAAATCCCCCAAAGGAGCAGAGAACCAAAAGAGACGAGTATTAAAGCCAAACCAAACCAAACCAAAGAGCAAATCACACCAAACAAGGGCAACACCTCGAAAAGTTAGATCACCCAAACTAAAACCTAATCCTCGCAGAATGGCGGTCACATCACCCAAACTAAAATGCAAGCCTCGCAGAATGGCGGTCACAGCGCACAAACTAACACGTAAAACTCGCAAAGCGGCAGCCAAATCACACAAACAAAGAAGGAAGACAACCAAAGGAAGAAAATCACTAAAACCTGCTGGCAAGAAACGCAGACCTGCAACAAACAGGGGCGCACGAGTTCGAAAGGTACCGAGGAAGGCTCAAAAGACTCGGAGACGCCGACCAAACCAAGTTCAAAATCGACATAAAAAGCAAGCAAGACGAAGGCTTCCAAAATCAAAGTTGAGATCGAGGAAAGGCACTTACTACTACCGCTAGGCTGAGTCTTCATGGTAAACAGTAATAAACAGAACCCCTTTTAGCATCCTGAAATACACGTAGTTCTATGTTGTGTTTGTGTTCCCATATCATTTTTTCTTCACTTCACTGTACAGACCATAGATCGCATAAAACATGGACAGTTTTCAGATACAAGTTCTGAAAAGTGAAGCTTCAGTGGAAACTTGTCTTTCTTTTAAATGCTACTTGGATGTGATACCTGTGGTTGCAAACATATCATGTATTGAGGTCAGACCGACATGTGATCATTAACCATGTGATTGCCATTTTAAATGGGTGATAATGTAGGATCAAGTGAATAAGGCTTCAGTCACACGAGCCTAGAGACAGTCTGTGTCTACCTGGCAACCACCAGTTGTGATTGAAAAATGAGTATTCCCTGGCCTATTATGAATGGTTGTTGAGGTTGATGGCAGTCTCTGGGACATTGATTGCTAAAGTCCCCGACACACAGGCCTACAGGCTGTCAGTGATCTCCCTGGCAATCACCTGTTGTTAGGGAAAAAGGGTATATTTCCAGCATAAACCTCCTTGTGAATGCTTTGATCAGCAGCACATTTTTGCAGTTTGAATGGAAGTGATGAACTTATTACCTTCAAAGTAAAACTTGCACCCTTTGAAATATATTGGCTGCAGCACTGAGGCTGAACTTTATTCTGAGGGCAAACATTCGCCATTTCGTGTTGCATTCTTTCAAGTTTTACTACTGCTAGACTAGTAGTTGGCAAATGCTGGCAGATAAACTAAAACTGCAGGCAACCATGGCAATCTGCTAGTAACCAGACCAACGTGCTTTTAATGCAGCACCTTCTTTGCAACTGATTTTATCCTGGGAGAGACGGCAACCTCGAGAAACCACTGTCAGCCAGTTGGAGAATACACGTCCCTAGCAACCGGTGATTGTATGACACCCAATATGGACTCTAAAAGCATTATGCACATGATGTCACTTGAAAAACCTCACTAGGAGACAATTGCAAAACAGCTCTTAGACTTGACCTCTGAATACTATCTTGATGAGTTTATGGGCTGAGTCATGAGGCTTGGGTCATGTTGAATAAAATGTTATGTCATTTGTCAAACTGTGATCATTTCAGAAGGGAGTATTTTTCTGGTATCGTGGTTTCACAGTCAATTCTGTCTCTCATTACATTATCTTGATGCTTCGAAGCAGGACTTTATAATCAGTGGGTGACATCAAAGTAGCGATGTCCATCTTGTAGTTTATGGTTGTCTATGTGTGAAACTTTGCACAAATCAAGAGCAGTCGTTATTTAGTCACACATTTTAATGTAACTACAACAATCCATAATCAAAACTGCAATTTATACTGGTATAAAAATAACTGCCATGCTCCTGCATGGAAAAGGAACCAATGTGTCTTCCACATGGTGCTCACATGCCATCGAATACATATACAGGACAGTGTATAGCAGGATAGAACATTGGGCATCAGTGGACACTCAGTCCAGTATTTCTAGTGCACTGAAATAAAGTCCATATAGTCAACTGTCTCTTTCCAGTCAGCATCAGCACTTTTCTATCCGTCACAGGATGCCCCACACCTCCTCAAAGGCAGAGCACATCTTGGCACAGGTCAGTGCTGCAGACAGGGGGTAGTTACTGATGGACACTGTCTTCTCTGTGTAGTCCACGTTAACCTAATAAGGACAGAGACATCAGTAACACACAAGGAGTATTTGACATAACTGTAACAGACTAAAAGAGTCTGTAAAAGAGAATGCCTCAATATATTTCTCACCGCTCCATGTGCGAATGCTCCAATCACCACTGCAGCTGGTCCCTCTGGTACCAAAGTCCGTGGGCACACGGCCTCTCCTGAAGAGAAGGAGGTGCTGATACGAGGGCAGCCGGGAGGTAGGTGATCAGACACTGGATTTTTAATCATCCTCAGGAGCTTCTGAGGACCATCAGCAGCCCTGACACTCAGCTTGTGCAGCAGCTGAACTAAGAAAGTAGAGAGAAGAAAGAAGAATTAGGAGAACAGTAATGGAGTGAAGGCTCACTTAAAGCCAGAACACATGGGAATAAGACTTAAGTACAATGCCTACAGCATGATCAGTATGTGTATTATCCATGCAGAAAAAAATAACAGTTATAGTTTACCCATAAGGCCACAGAAACGTGTGAATGTTCTTGGGATGCGGGTCTGCGGGTTGATCTCGATTAAAGCGTTTTTCTCTGTGTGGATGTAAACCTGCAACAGCCCCGCCCTGTTCAACGGACTGTCCATCAGCATGAGCAAACACTGGAAATACACAGTTCAAAGTTAAAACCATTCATACAGCCCTTCATCACAAACATGCCACTACGCTTTATATAAGAAAACACAGACATAAAGGATAAATAATAAAAAACACTCTAGTTAAGTTTCAGACTTGATGTATTGATTTTTATTTCAATTTAATTTTACAATTTAGTTTCAGATTGCCTGCAAAGTATTTTGTTTCATTTTTCAGTTTCCTTATTAAGTGTTAGGCCAAGATATAAAAAGTTCAGGTAGGTAGGTATTACAATACAAACAAAAGGCAACTGACTCACAATCATGTACATATCCCTGTCTCAATAAAATGCGCACAAAAGCGGCTCATGTCTGTTGTCCTACTTTTATTTTTGATAGTTTTTTTGGTTGTTTTTTTCCTAAAGTACTTCTTACACTACTTCATATTATTCTTACACTACTTAGTACTTTTTATTCATACTATACTGTTATATATGTGCACTATTCAGATTAGTGAAATATTACTGATGCAGTAGTATCAAAAGTCAGCTAATGAAACATGCTGGTTTTGTTTTTGTCCCTCAGTTACACTGTAATAGTTCCTAAGTAGTAGGATTTGAGCAGGTCCAGATGTTAGGGATGTTGAGTCAATGATACTGTATTTCTGTAATTATTAAAAAAAAACAATATGTCACAGATTATAAATATCACAGACTAAGACAAATTAATATGAATTAAGACCACAATACTGTGCATACAATAAGTACCAGAGTAAGGAGCACTAAAAAGTAATCATAAGGATCTATTTATTTCTAAAGGGGACTTTTGGAAAGCGTTAGATCCCAGAAACCATGCTACACAAAAAAAAAAGAAAGAGAGAAAAAGATATGAATATGCTCTTTTAGCGCTTTGATTCATACTGGGGGAGGATTGCTCCCCAGATTACTTTTTAAATGCAGAAATAAAACTAAATGACAGGCTTGATGCTCAGTACTGTGCTATCAAACATGCACAGTGTGTTTGATAGCACATAATTACAATGACTTAAATGCAATGAAACTCCACTCTGGTTAACTGTGACAGACTGACAAACACAAGTGACGAATAAGGCTGTACATTATTATTGAGGAATGAGTGTTTACCTGATGTGTGATATCTGGTCTTATTTTTCCGGGATCTCTTCCACTTTTGATGATCATATTTTTGTGTTGGTCGCAATTTAACAGCTCAAATGTTTTCCCGACCTGAAATATGAAAAACAAGCCAAAAGCACGTATTAACTCGCCTTAAGTTAAGTTATTATTAAGCATCGTTGTTGGTGTCACTTCCACTAAAAACGGGTAGGGGTTGCATCACAACAACGCGCAAAGACAGCTCCATAGCGCCTTACCTTCACCGTCTCTAACGACGCTCCCTCCAGAATAACCACCAGCCTCCTCTCCGCCATGCGGTCGTGCAGGCTGCGGAGATGTTTGGCTGGTTTAGGTTCATATTCGTCCAAATGTTCAAGACCACGCTTCTTCCCATTACCCGCCGCCATGATGCCTTCCTCTGGACTGTCGCAGGAAGTTCACGTCACTGCAGAGGTGCGCGTTCACAGGTGAGTGTATTGCACATAAAAATTTCATTTGTGGGGTTTTTATGAAGGTAGCTAGATTTTGAATATGTAAGTATGTGGTAAAAAAAAATCAGTCAGTTTTATCTTAATAAAATAAAACGTGTTTCCTCAGCGCCCTCGTTCTGCGCGCGCCACCCTTTCGTCACTATTGTGCGCCGGATGTCACGCTACAACGTGTTGAAGGAAATTTCACGTGTAGAAATTTTCGTCCTGCATCGCTCCACAATCACACTATAATTAGTGTCTGCGGACCTTAAAGTATCCGGTTTATTGGTGAGTATTTGAAGAATCGATGCTGCGATTCGCGCTGCAGCTAAAGAGCGGTTCAGTGGCGATAAGCTTTGAGTTGTAAGGGTATACTTTTTAAAACTGCGGTCAGGTAATGGCTGTGAAACTGGTCACAAGTTTTTAACGAGGCTGTTTGATAACAGTCTGATCATACATTAATATTTAAACAGTTTAATCCCCAGCAGATGAAGTGGGAGAATTTGTAATAAACGATTTATCATTTGTTATAACCAAACATATTTATTACTGTTTCAACAGTATAGAGACCCTCTCTGTAACACTACATAATTTAATCACTGCTTATAATTATAAAGAGCATTGGTTGTGTTGGAGCTGAATTTATTGTACTGATGTTGGACGGTTTTCTTTCCCGCAGATCTCCATCCAAAACAGTTTTACTTTTTTTCTTCAATGACGCTCCTCTCTTTTACATATACTGTATTTTTTGTTTTGTCTTAGGGTTTTAAAACACTCTTGCTGTGTTTTCTTTTTCAGACTGTCTGTGTAGAAGGAAATCATGGGTCGGAAGTTGGATCCCTCCAAGAAGTTGAAGAAAGGTCCGGGTAAAAAAACCCGGAAGCAGCAGGGAGCAGAGACAGAGTTGGCCAAGTTTATACCTGATGGTAACTATCCCTTTCCAAGTCAAAAGTTTCTGTTTTGGAGGTTTAGTAAAACACGCTGTCAACATTGTGTTATTTTTTTATATTTAATCTTTGCAGAGGACACTGGATCAAAACGTCTCTCAAGTAGAGCCAGAAAAAGGTAAGAGGTGGACTGAGGATGTAACATGACATAAAACAAATGTGTTTACAAGCTCCTAATTCATGTTAAAATGTTTCAGAGCTGCAAAGAGAATCCAGAGTTTGAAAAAGCCCAAAGATGTTGCTGAGGAAAAGCCTAAGAAAGGTAAACAATTAACTTTTGCTCAGTCTGGTCAACGCATGATTTAAATATTTGCCCAGATGCAAGCATGAGATTGTTGTTTTGATGGACCATCCTTCTCCAGTATCATTACAGCTATGTAAGCAGTTGTTTATTATTGATTATCAAGGGCAATTATGGGAATATCAGCAAGGGATAATGGTCCAAGGTGAACAGCCAGACTAAATGTGATTCATAAGCCTTCTATGGAAAAACAAGGATTGAAACATTTTACTTCACCCGGATTGAGGTTTCCGCGGCTCGTTGGCAGCATCTGCTGTTCGTCCTCTTGGGTCTCACCACCTGAAGGAGGGGTCCAAGGGGTTCAGTGCTATGTCGATCAGGAGGTGGCCTTGTTAGTCTAATCCCAAGTTACTGAAACTGGTTTGTTAACCTCAGAATTTTGTTTATGAGTGAAGGGAGACAGGAGCAGGAGACTAGCAGAAGTATTGGTGCGTTAGCAGTTATGCAGCTCCTGCACTGGTTTACTGTTGTGTGAGCTTTGGGTAGTGACTGAAAGAATAAGATTGGTGATATAACCAGCAGAAATGAACTCCTTTTGAAGGCTGTCTGGACTCATCCTTAAAGTTCACGGTGAGAAGGTTGGTCATTCAGGAGGGGTTTTGAGTGGAGCCATTATTCCTGCACATGGAAAAAAGCTAGTTGAAGTGGTTAGGGCATCTCACCAGAAAGACTCTTTGGCACCTCCTAAGTGAGTTGTTTCAAGCCCGTTCCACTGGGAAGAGGTCCTGGAGCTATCCAGAGGCTTTTGAGCTTGCATCTCTCGGCTGGCTTGCTAACAGCTTGGTCCAGTTGTCAGTCCATTCACAATCCTGATAGGAAAACCGAAAGGGAATGGAGGGAGGGATGGATGGATATTGATTATTAATGCATCTTGTATGTGTCATGATTTCAGCAAGGAAATAAATGAATAAATACACATATATTTACAGTTTTGTCTTTCTTACTTTCTCCCTAAAGGGTTCACAGATGAGAACAGCAAATGGTTGAAACCGTCAAAGAGGAAGCGCAAGATTGATGAACAAGAAAGTGAGGATGACAGTGATGAACACTGGGAAGAAGAAGATGATGAGGAGGAGGAGGAAGAGGAAGAAAAGGTTGTAGAAAAGAAGGGAGGCAAAGACCAGCAGAAGAAGGGTGTAAAAGGAGTGAAAAAAGAGGCCGATGATGATGAAGGCGATGACGATGATGATGATGATGAAGGCGATTATGATGATGATGATGATGAAGGCGATGATGATGATGAAGGCGATGATGATGATGACATGGTTGATGACTATGGTGTTCAGGATGACAGTGATGAAGCAGCAGAAGATGACAGTGATGGAGAGGATGTATGTGCTCTTTCTAACCTTTTTTACCCTTTTTAATTTATTTATTTTTATTTTTTTTTAGTTTTATTCAGAAGCTGAAACGAAATATTCTTCCAGCCTTGAAATGTGAAGTTTGAAGCCTCATTTTATTAGAAAATTTTCACTTATGAGCTACAAAATCGGGAGAGTATTCTGTTTTCAGTGGCACTAGGCCTTATTACAGTTACATTTTTAGGAGAACATTGTAGCAGAGGCTGGTTAACTTAGAGCTTTTTTTTTCTTTTTTTTTCTACCTCCAGCTTCTTCCCATTGAACGTGCAGCCAAGAAAGAAAAAAAGCAGAAAAAGTCCAAGGCTCCTGATAGTGATGAAGATGACGATGATGAAGAGGATGAAGAGGATGAGGATGATGACGAGGAGGAGGAGGAACAGGAACAGGAATCTGATGCTGACATGGATGAAGAAGATGAACTAAAAACAAACATTGACGAAGAAGATAAATTCAGGCTTCCTAAACCAGAGGAGGGTGAGTTTCTGTGAAGTTTTTGTCTTTTAAAGCAGCAAATGTGCAAAAAGAAATTCTCTGATTTTCTACAAACAATCAAAACGTATTTTTTTGGTCCACATTTTCTAGGACTTCTGCCTCTAGATTTGAAGGCAATCTATCAGCGGATAAAGGACAACATTGACCTCCTGTGCAATTTCTCAACAAAAAGAGAGGAGGGGAAAGACCGAGCAGACTACATCTCACTTCTGAAAAAAGATCTCTGCACCTATTACAGCTACAACGAGTTCCTCATTGAAAAATTTATGGACCTATTCCCTCTTTCAGAGGTGTGTTTTCTTCCGTGCATGGTTTTGGTTTGTTTTTTGGGTTTGTTTGTATGTTTTTTCATTAAATCCTGATTTAAAAGAATTCATGGATGCATTGATTTAAACATGCAAGGTCTAGCTGAGAATATCTATTTGACTTCAAACATTATATTTTCTTTCTGCCTTACAGCTGGTTGATTTCCTCGAGGCCAATGAAATTCATAGACCTGTCACTATTCGAACCAATACACTGAAAACAAGGAGGCGGGACCTTGCACAGGTAGGTGCCTGATCTTAAGAGACATGGACAAAATTGGCATTTAGAATGTTTTAACAAGTTAAAATACATAATGTGTGTCATGACTGTTAGCTATTTGGTAGTTTATTGCTTTAAAGATTGTATCTGTTGTGATATAGAATTGTTTTTGTTGAACAAAAATTTGGCAGCCAGGATGAAGGATTCTGTACTTAGGTTAGCATTTTCAGAAGAAGATCTATAGAATATTACATATATATTATATGTATTAATGGATTTACTGTTGATTATGGAGTTAAGAAGCAAAGTCTCACAAGCCTAAAAAGCAGTCATTGACATCTGCCAATGTGATCAGGGAGAAATGTGCTGGATGTTTGCTGGATGTTGGTTGCTAGGTTAAAATCTGTTCCACAGAGGGAGTGGTGCCATAGGCCTCCTATTGAGGGCTGTGGTCACCCTTATTGTGGGAGGGGCCAACTTCTCAAACACTCACCAAGTTGTCATAAAAGGAAAAACTACTTAAATGACAGGAGGAAACTCAAGTCTTTACATATTGAATTCACTTGTTTGTGCTTTTCCTTGTTTAGGCTTTAATCAACAGAGGAGTGAACCTTGATCCACTGGGGAAATGGTCTAAAGTGGGGTTGGTTATCTATGACTCCTCAGTACCTATAGGTAGGTTTCAAAAGTTATGTAAGTGACCAACTTAAGCAATTAAGGATGCTATCTGTGTGACTGCAGCTTCTTTACATGTTAACTAGGTGCAACTCCGGAGTATCTGGCCGGTCATTACATGCTCCAAGGAGCCTCCAGCTTTCTGCCAGTCATGGCGCTGTCTCCACAGGAGGGAGAGTTGGTATTAGACATGAGCTCAGCTCCAGGAGGAAAGACTACCTATATTGGTAAGATGTATTGCCTTTATTGCAAATTATGTTGTCATTTCACCCTTAAAAATAGTGGAGTCCTTATGCAGATGTTCTCACCCTTAGCTCAGCTGATGAGAAACACGGGGGTAATAGTGGCTAATGATGCCAATGCTGAAAGACTGAAGAGTGTGGTGGGAAACATCCACCGTCTGGGGGTCACCAACACTGTGGTCTGCAACTATGACGGCAGAGAGTTCCCAAAGGTATCCTGTCTAAATGTGTAGATCACCAATATCTGTGGGGTTAAGCCTTATTACAGTTCCAATGTTTTGACCTGTTGGAATTCTGCTTTAAGGTCATGGGTGGCTTTGATAGAGTGCTGCTTGATGCACCCTGCTCAGGCACAGGCGTCATTGCTAAAGATCCAGCTGTGAAGACGAGCAAGGTAAAAACCAAGAAAGAAACTTTTTCTGTCTTTATATACACACACGTCTGTTTGCTTTAAGTAGTGTGTTAATACTTGTTTCTTTTTGCCCTTCTGTTCACTGACAGGATGAGGTGGATATCAATCGTTGTGCTCACTTGCAGAAAGAATTGATTCTGTCTGCCATCGACTCGGTCAATGCTGATTCCCCATCGGGAGGATATCTGGTCTACTGCACGTGTTCAATAACTGTATGTGGAAACTCTGAATTTCTACCAAATTTATGTACAAACATAGTAAATATCAGACGAGCTTGGTAAGTGATTGCATTTTTTTCAACTAGGTGGAGGAGAATGAATGGGTGGTGGACTACGCTTTAAAGAAAAGAAACGTCAAATTAGTTCCCACAGGACTCGACTTTGGCAAGGAAGGCTTCACCAAGTAAGTTGGATAACCAGTGTTATTATTTTAGGAGCAAGTAAGAAATTGAATAAAACATGAATATTTTCCTTCTTTTAGTTTCAAAAAGTTCAGGTTCCATCCAACTCTGCGACTCACGCGACGATTTTACTCTCACTCCCACAACATGGATGGATTCTTTGTGGCCAAGCTGAAGAAGTTCTCCAACATTATTCCAACTGCACCACCAGGGAATGGTAAGAGTTTTTGTCATAGCTTCATGCCTACGTGTATCATGATATTTTCCCTTTCATCACTAAGTAACATCTGTCTTTGTTGTTGTTGTTGTAGAAGATGAGAAGGCAGAGGCTCCTGAGACGACAGCGGCCACAGAAGCTCCTGAAGAGAAAAGGTCCAAGAGCGACAAGACAAAGAAGACTGTCCTCAACAAGGCAGGCGGCCTGAAGCAAGAAAACAAAGCCAATGGAACAGCAGTCACGAAAAAAGCAATCATCAACTCACAAGGCAAAAAGGAGTTGCATACTGGACCAAAAAAGGCAAAAGTCGCCAAGATGGATGGAGAAACTGTGAAGGGCACAGAAGCCAAGAAGGCAACAGATGATGGTAAAGCATCAAAAGCTGACACAAAGGAAGGAAGCAGGTTTGAGAAAAAGCAGGCCACAAAGAGGAAAACACCCATGAAGGCCAAGAACAGAATGGGGAAGAATAAATTCAACAAGTTGAAGCACATGTTGCAAAAACAATAAACAAAAGTGACAGTGTGTTAAATGCATGTTTGGATTATATTAAAGCTTTGTTACACACCTGGATCCACCTCTGTCTGATGAAGCTGCTCTGTTTGTGCAGCAATTGTGTCAAACGTGATTGTAACATGGCTGCGTGCTGATGATTGGACTCTCAAACAATGCTCCTACTAAAGCTGGAGCTTTCTTTTTTTTTATTTCTGTATACAGATTCAATGCTTTCCATAATCCTGTGAGAAATAAATCTTTTAAGAACATTTAATACTGACCTATGAATCATTCACACACAAAAGAGGCACCTAACTCAAAGGATGAAACAGTGTTGTGTCCAAACATATCAGATTATTCTCAAAAAGCTTGTAGTTAAAAACTTATTTTAGTGCAGTGTGTCCTTAAAAAAAATTAGAGGAAATTGGACAAATGGAGGAGTGGTGGGTATAAAAAAAATCTACTGCAGATGAACAGTGTTTAAAAGTAATTTTCTTAAAAAACTAACAAATCCAGCAAAGACTTGACTTGGGACCTGAGAGGTCCTTCTGAATCCATCTGTTTGCTGAAGGGGCATCAGAAGTCTCAGCAGTTCTCGACGGCCACCGTTCCATTGTCTAAAGAAGGGAAATGGGGAAAAAGCTGAGGTATGCCAAATTAGACAAGAACTGGACTGAAAATCAGTGGAAACCGGTCTTAGAGACTCACAAATCCAAATTTGAAATTTTTGGTTCAGATCATCACCACTTATGTTTACATGTGTTCCAGTAAATTGCTGCATCTATTTCACATTTTCAGAAAATATAAAGACATTTCTTGTAATATGTGTTGTAATTTCACAAGGTTGTTTCATTTATTTATTTTCATTCAGTCACCTAAAGACGTTTATATTTTTATTCTTTAGTTGAGATTAACTATAATAATCTTGATAAAAATACAAAAGACCATCTCTAAACGGAGTACATCTTGGACGCTCTTGCATACCTGTTATTGTTTATTACCTATATGATAATTTGAGTATTACACCTGTAATTGGCCGTACTTTGGATGGCAGTTGATTCTTCCTTCGGTGTTGGGTGCGCTCTGGAGATAACCAATCAGATCAGCTCTATCTCGGTCCGGAAGCTGTGTTGTTTACATTTTCCAAGATGGCGGCGGGAATGTATTTGGAGCATTATTTGGACAGTAAGTGAATTTGCATGTGTTTCTGACGCATTGAAAAACATTCTTAGTCGTTTTATAGTTTAATTTCTTTGTGTAGTGTATCTCCTGATCAGCTTCAGCGCGGAAGGGAATGTTCTAACGGTTTCCTAACGGTTAGCGGTTTAGGCTCAGTCTATTTGCTGGAATAGCGCGTCGCAAGGGAGCAAAGAAAGGCTCGCAAGCATCCTGTATTGCCACTACTGGCACAAGTTAAATGCAGTTAGCATTCATAGTCAGCTGTATTTGTGCCACTTGTTGTTTAATGGGGTGTTTGAGAATTTTAAAGCTTAACCGAAAAAGCATCACTTCAGACATTAGATTGAGCTAGCCAGTGTTGTTATTTCATTGTTTTGTGTTGATGTCTTAAAAATCTTTGTTCTCCTGCCTTCCTGCCACACCAGGCATAGAAAACCTGCCCTTCGAGTTGCAGAGGAACTTTAATTTGATGAGGGATCTAGATCAACGCACAGAGGGTAAGCTCAGTGAGCACGGATCTTCATTAACCCACAAAACACGGTCCTTAAATGGAGGTAAATGGGTTACCCCCACACAGGGACCCCAACGAAAGTCCGAGGAATCATTAGATTACTAACGAAAAAAAGCCCCTAATTATAATAATAATAATAATAATAATTATTATTATTATTATTATTATTATTATTAGTCTTGTTCTTCTTTAACACTTGGATGTATTTTTATTTAGTGCTCTTACATTGACACAGCTCGAACCCTATCTTAATGTGTGATGAGGAGTCACATAATAACATTTTTAAGTCATCTTTATTTAAATATTATTTTTAAACCCCAAAACAAATAAATGATCAAAATAAAATAAATAAAAATAATATTAATAATAATAACAATAATAATTATACAGAGTGAAAACAATTAGGTGTGTTATTATGTATTTATATGTGCTAAGCAAAAACATTTTTAAAGGTTTGGTTGTGGTTAGTGCTGTCTACTTACAGCAAGTAGGTCCTGGGTTTAAATCCAGTTGAAGTCCTTCTGCCTGAAGTTTACATGTTCTCCTCGTACTTGTATGGGTTCTCTCCGGGTGCTTTGACGTCTTCCCACAGTTCAAAGACATGCATGGAGTTAGATTAATTGGTGATTCTAAATTTGTTGTCCGTCTGTCAGTGTTAGCTGTGCAAATAGAAGGGCGAGCTGTGCTGGGTGTATCCTGCTTTTGGCAGCTGGGATAGGCTCAAGCCACCCCAGCAACCAGAAACAGATAAGGAGAAGAAGATGAATGTATAGAACCCAAAAGTTTATTAACATTTTTGAAGCCTTAAGATCATAATTTACTGTTTTAGGTTGCTGGTTTTATGCTTGTTAAATAAGAAAACTGAATATCCAATTGTGTTATTTTCAAAAACATTTTGACTTATTTGTGTGAGGTATTAAAATTATCTTTGTAATTACAGACAGCGTTGTTTAGAAGTTCTTCTCATCTTTTTTTATTTTATTTTTATTTTTATTTTTGTTTAGATCTTAAAGGCCAGATAGACTCTCTGGCTAAAGAATACACTGCCAATGCCCGGACTCTCTCCTCTGAGCAAAAGCTGTCCATACTGAGGCAGATCCAGCAGTCATACAGTAAATGCAAGGAGTTTGGAGATGACAAGGTGCAGCTGGCCATGCAGACCTATGAAATGGTTGGTATCTTAGAAAATAAACCTATTTTAGATACATGTTTATTGGGAGAAAATAACTTGAAAAATACACTGCCCTGTATTTAAGTAAGCATGGCCTGAATTTTGTGTAGGTGGATAAACACATCAGACGTCTGGACACGGATCTGGCTCGGTTTGAGGCTGACCTGAAGGAAAAGCAAATCGAGAGCACAGACTATGATTCCACCTCTAGTAAGGGGAAGAAAGGTGGGTTAACACTGTATTTGCCCACAGTTATGTGCTCAGTTAAGTAAATCCAAACTCAATATAATGCGTGTCTTGCATGCTTTTGTAATCCCAGGAGATTCCAGGCAAAAGGAGAAGAAGGCAGCTAAAACGAGGTCTAAAGTGAAGAGTTCAGATGAAGACAGCAGTCCTAAGAGTGCACAGAAGAAAGTGAAACTCCTTCAGCCGTACGTTGTGCATTGTTTTGCTTTTGATGGTCTCGTCATTGTTGTTTTTTTTTCCTTTTAAGTTAGTGTCATACTCTTTTTCTCACATACAACATTTTTTAATCATCAGAGGAGAATTCAACAGCCCTTCTTCCAACTTTGGGAATGTGCACCCATCCGATGTGCTGGATATGCCAGTGGACCCCAACGAGCCCACCTACTGCCTATGTCATCAGGTCTCCTATGGCGAGATGATCGGCTGTGACAACACTGATGTGAGTTTTGTATTAAAATGCCCTCTTACAGTCAATCAGAGGACACATGAGATTGGTATGGACATTTACATTTAATGTTGATGAATGTGTGTTGTCGTTTGTACAGTGAACCTGCTTAGAAAATTATAAAATTTGAAAGGGTACATGGTTTAGAGCACAAGTAATGATTCAGTAAAAGGACTAGATGTTATAGTCTCTGATAATGCATTTCTTTGAATGGAGAGAATCTTGAGGAAAGGCAGCCCAGGAACTTTACCAGCAACACATATCGTTGTGTGCCTCAACTTTTTTGTATTGTATTGTATCTTTATTTCAGACATATACAGAAAAAAAAAACTTTCGGTCTTTTACCCAAGCAAATCTGCAATTTTTTGGTAGATTAGAGATTTGATCTAGATTATCATATTAAGATTTGGGACACATCGTCAGTAGTGGACCTTGGATTCATCAGGTGTTTCGCCCATTATCACTAGACACCCTCGTCCAATGAGGGCCTACCAGGGTTGCTCAGGCCACGGAGTGTGTCACTAGTTTATGTTAAATTGTTATTTCTCTTCTTCTTTCTTCTGTTTAGTTTTCTACAGTTTATTTTCTCCTATCTATTCACTGTAACTGAGAAATAATACTTACCTCTTTAGCATTTATGGAGCCTCACTTCTTCAAAGGGATAGAAAAGGTGATAGAGAGAAGTAAGAGAAAAGGGACAAGATAGGAGAGAGCAGAGAGGAGAGCCGGAAGGGGGGCGCACGATCTGGCTTCCCACACCTCCCTGCCGGATCGGGCTGTACGCTCTTCCTCCCTACTGCCTCCTAGAAAAGGGAAGAAGAGCGGAATATTTTCTTTTCTCTCACAGTTAGCTGGACTGCCTTTGCTGCCCAAGTGAAGTCAGCCCTTTTTAACTGGTCCTCTCAGCAGTGTTAGTTAATTCTCTTATAGCCTGTCGTTGTGCCTGTCTGATCCCAATCTCTCTAAGCAGTTTTGCTGTTGTACTGGCAACAAAGCCCCTGCACCCCAATTCCACCAGGCGCACCTTGATCTTCCAACTTCTGTCCTCTGCTTCAGCTGCCAAGTTGGCATACTGCAGCTTCTTACGCTCAAATGCTTCCTCGATTGCTTCCTCCCATGGTACCGTCAGCTCAATGACGTACGCAAGTTTTTGGGAGTTAGACCAAACGATAAGGTCTGGTCGCAGAGCACAACCAAATCAATTTTATAACCCACTTCAAGTGTCATAATATAAAGGCAAATCATACAGAGTAACAGAAACAAGAACTGGTGTTCTGAACGCTTTATATATTTTCTGGTGTTTTCTGGCTCTTTTCATTGGAGAAAAGAGCATTTCTGTGTAAACACACAAAGGAGGCTGGACCACAGAGAGTCTTGGGATGCTTTCTTTGCAGTTGCTTCATTTAGCTTGTGACAGTTGTCTTTTGGCATAAGATGAAATGTCCCTTTTTATTGTCTTTACTGAACTTGAGAGGGAGATGTCCGGTTGTTTGGGTTCAATGTGCTGTCCTTATCCACATATCCACTGATCCCATTTTGTTTGGCAATAACAAAATTAAATATATTAATGATTGCCCACTTTTATTTGAGTTTTGTTCTGCTGTTTCAATACGAACCAAATTAAAAGAGGTTTGGTTATAGTGAAATACTCACACACATCCCTCTGATGTCCTCGGAACCACCAAACACAGGGAAACAGTTTTTTTTTTTTCATTTAGTGCTTATGGTCGGTATATTTTTAACTTGGCGGCAGTTACATGTGTTTGTTTTAACCAGTTACAGTATGTCAGGGTTCGTACGGGTGCTTGAAATCCTTGAAAAT